CTGGTTGGCCCACTATGTGCTTGTGGGAGTGAGTTTCTTGTTGCTCCTCAGACTGATGAAGTCCTTTAGATGAAGGACAAAACGTCTCAACAACAACAAAAAAAGAATCTGTCCAGATGACCTGACTTCACTTTGTTGGGCTAATTAAAGATGGCTGGTCCTGATCAACACTAAGATAAGTTTGTCAGTTTTACAAATACTGAGCTAAAATTCAGTGTGGTAGTAGCCAAGAGTTATACTGATGTTATATGTTACAAGATGTTATACTTATTGATGATTTTACAATAGTGAACATTAAAAGTTGTCTGTCTAAAATTTTGATTGTCTTTTCTGAAGAGAGACTTGATGGATTTTAACACATTTGCTGTTGTATGTGACCAGGTCGTGACACAATAAGATATATAAAAATAAAATCATTGCATGCATATGTTTTAGCTGACTGAAGTAATAAACAGGTCTAACATGACGACAATTTGCCAAATAAAATATTATTACATTTAGTTTTCTTAATATGCTGCCTAAAAGTAAGATTAGAGTAAAAAAAAAACCACCAAAATATTTAAACTGATCCACCACATCAACTCTCTCTCCAATCACATGCAGTCTTGGTCTTGAGCCCTCTGCTTGCTGGCAAGGAAATAACAATTATTATTATTATTTTAATGTAATCATGAATTTTGAAGCCAATGAGGTACAGGTACTACCTGTATAACTACAGATTAAACATCAGCTGCTTCTTGTGCTGTTTTAGCATGTATATACAATACAGTGTCGTCTGCATATAGCTGAACTTTAAAACTCGAACACATAGACGTAAATACAATATGTAGACGCCTCGTTGAGCAGGCTGGCCCGCTGCAGCGGTACGTCGGAGCGTCCACCATTTTAAATGTGGCAGAACTGCCGGTCAACTAATAGAAGGAAATAGACAGAACTTCATAAAACACAGTTCTACAAAGTGTTTGAAGTTGATGCCTGTCATTCACACACACAAATATAGTTGGAAAACAAACAGGCACCAAAGACAACATTTGTAACTTTTAACATTCCTTATAATTTGATTAAAATTAAAACCATCTACAAGTTGTTTCAGGTTCTTTCTGCTGTACCCTGAGAAGTTGTTCACATCTTTTGAACGTCACATTAAGTAAAAAAACAAAAACAAAATCTTTTTAGCTGAACACCTGAAACCATTAGGTCTGAAACATACAAATTAACCTGTTGCTCCACAGCAGTACAACCTTAACGTCCGTCTTGTTGTGTATAAAAACATAGTGTGTGTACATTTTGTTGCACAAATGGATGCATTTGCTGCCCACTATGCCAAAGATCATGTTTATATGTTAAAATATTAATTCAACATTTATTTAGACAGGTAAATCCCATTGAGCCTCGAGGACTCATTTACAAGAGAGACCTGATTACAACAAAGAAAGATAATAACAATAGACAGTTATAAAAAAGGCATACAGATTTTTTTTTTCTTTTTACAAATGGCAAAAAGAGTAACAAAAACAGCTAGATTCTAAGGCAAATGTAGAAAACTAAAAACAGGAACATGTCAGCATTGGTCCCTGCCAGGAGTCTCAACAGATTCTTAAAGCCACTTAGAGAGGTCAAGGTCGAGAGCTTCAAATCTTTTTGTAAGATATTCCAGGAAACAGGAGCGGAGTAGGAGAAGGCCCTTTTGCCAAGTTCAGTCTTTACTGAGGGAACACTGCAGGTAATAATGTCCTGAGAGCGCACGCTGTAGCTGCACTCACGCAGAGACATGTTGCAGATGATGTATGAAGGCAGCAAAATATGACTGTTATGATCGCTTTAGGCAAATTTAGGAAATAACAATACATGCAATCTGTACTCAGAGATCTGTTAGCCTCTGGAGTATTTGTTGGGGAGACCTCTCAGTTACGACCACAGCACGTTTAAACTCATATCCTGTAAAATTGGACTGAATTGAAGCCATCGTTGTGTTTTAAGTTTCAGCTGCGGCTGCCACACACCCAGAGGTATTTACATTAATGCCTGCCTTTTATGGTGGCGGGTTATAAATATAGAAACTGCCATTTAAAAAGTCCCGAAACGTTTTTGAAAGCAGCTCCAAAAAAATGAGCTTCAGCAGATAAAACGAAACCGAAACGACAAATGAAAACTGCAACGTGTTGGTGTATTTTAAAAAGTTAAATCTGGTCCTCTGGACATTCAAAAAAACAAAACGAAGCAAAACAACAACAACAACAAAATAAAAGGACAAAGGACCAGATGTAACTTTTTTTTTAGATTTTTCTACCTGGATTATTGAGCATGCATCAGGATGTGTTGGTGTATGTTTTCAGAAATCAAAATCATTATTTGATGGTGGGCAGCACGGTGGCGCAACTGGTAGAGCTGCTGCCTCTCAGCGAGCAGGTCCTTGGTTCAAACCCCAGTCCAGGGGCCTTTCTGGGTGGAGTTTGCATGTTCTCTCCGTGCATACATGGGTTTTCTCCGGGTGCTCCGGTTTCCTCCCACAGACCAAAAACATGCATGTTAGGCTGATTGGTAACTTTAAATTGTCCCTAGGTGTGAATGAGAGAGTGAATGGTTGTTTGTCTCGTTTGTCTCTATGTGTCCCTGTGATGGACTTGCGACCCGTCCAGGGTGTACCCCGCCCCTCGCACAGTGATTGCTGGACATGGGCACCAGCGACCCCCGTGACCCAAAATGGAATAAGCGGGTAAAGATAATGGATGGATGGATGATTTGATGGTTTTGGATTTATTTAGGCTTTCAGTAAATGCAGCAACGCTACGGAAAACTCAAAACAATGAGCGCGTCCTTATTTAGATTATGTTATGGAATATTACATTTGCAACATTTAAACACTTTCCTACTTTAAAATAAGTTTATTATTCTTCATCAAGCAAAAAGGTGTTATTTGAATGCATTTTACTGATTACTTTCACTCATCCCTTTCAGACTCAACTGTTTAAAGACATGACATTTTCTGTATGCTTTGAATAAAAAACAAACAAAAAAAAAAGAAAGTGGTCCTTTTTGTGTCTTGTTGTGGCCAACAGATGGGGCGTGGTGGCCTCGCTGTGTAGCTTGGCAGCGGTACAAGCCAGGCCTGGATTTTCTGATGTGGAGAGCCTGTTGGGAAACTGAGACAGACTGAGTGCAGAGGAGAAAAAACAGAGGAGGGAAATGAGAGGGAAAGACAGGGTGTGTGTTGGTGTTTGTAAGAAGGGCGTGTCTGTTGGTAAGTGTGGAGGTGTACCGTGTGTAACTCCCAAGGACCATGGTCCCCCCTTCCTGTAAGTTGTTAAAGCCAGGCCAGATGGCAACTCTTAACTCTAAAATAGGAAAAGCAGCAGCTTTGTGTTGTGACACTAAAAAAAGTAAATGATAAAATGATCATGCAAGTGTTCCCCTGTGTGTTTTCACCTGTGGTGTCCTGTGTGCTGTGACCACTGAACTGCACCAGCATCAAGTATTCAGGAGAACGGGGCTTCCCTCTGACAGCCCGCCTCGCTCTGCTGACTTCTGATGGACGCGCTCTTCTCTCATATCCGTGGAAAACCTGTTTGCGTGCACACTTGTATATACCTGATGGGAAGATAGGATCAGGTTCCTCCTTTGTCTTGCGCTTCACGTTGATTGAGTTGCTTGATAGGTGGAAATGTGACCTAATAACGTGTGTATGAATGTGTATGTGTGTGTGTATGTGTGTGTGTGTGTGTGTGTGTGTGTGTGTGTGCTTGTTTTGCTGCAGTTGTGTGGTGAGAATGCTGACTCATGCTTGAAGAATGACAGAATTGTGAGGCTGCTTGTTGGTCTTGTACGCACTAACATAGGTGTTTTGGTATTTTGCAAAACAAACAGTTTCTGTTGTTTGCACCTTTCATCCACCTGTAAATTGTATTTTTGGTGGGAATAAAGGAGATTTTTTCTTACAAAGATTAAACTTAAAAATGAAAATTTTCAGTGTTTTTATGTGCACTTGACAAAAGATTGATGCTGTTTCATCCACTGCAGGCTTGTCCACCTTTACTTTGTGTATTATGTGTATTTAACCACAGCAACAATATATTATTTTACCATTTTCTTCTGCATCATGATCCCGTCGCCATTAAACGTCAAGTTTAATTACAGAAGCAAAATTGGGGAATGGAGTTAAAAAAGGCTGTTTCACCTCAAGTCATGTTCAGAACAATATTTATTTGCATTTATTAAAACATTAATATCTATTCCATTGCCGTCATATTTGTGTTATAATATTTACTGGGAATTATTTTTATTATTACTTTCATTGCCTTCAAACACAACATTTTTCTTGGATTTGAAGCTTCTACTCAAATCTGTGTATCTTTTTGTGTTTAATTTTTTTATATATCTTTTTAACTTAAAAAAAAAAAGAGAAAACAACTTTAGTCAATGATAAGGTTAACTTGTGTGTTTTTGTGTGTGCTTGCTTCATTCAGATTACTTATTTTCAGTTGTAACAGGAAACTGATTCGGCTCAAAATTCATGCTTAGGTTTTATATTCTGCTACATTTTCTGTCTCAAAGCAACACAGAACATTTGATTTATCAACAACAAAAGATTAAAACATTTATTTTAACCATTCCTTGTTACTGAGTTAAAAACATATGAAATGTACTTCATTCGTTTTGCCTTATTTCTTATGTTGCAAATTTACTGAAGATGTAGTTGAACATTTGATGAGTAAGCTCAACAACATCCATCACTCGTGGTTTGAATTGATTTACTGTTCGATTTTCAGTTTTCTAAGAAAAATTGTGACACCCTTAATTTCATTCTAACCTTGTGATACAGATAATCTCACTAGATGTCATTTTATTAATCATCTTTAATACATAAAGCCAGAGGCAGCAAATTATAACTTAAAAGCGTCCGTTTGATGAAATGACACAAATTAACAGCGTTTTTATTTTTTCATTTTTTTGTTCTAGTTCCCTGAGTGTGGCTTTTATGGCATTTATGACAAGATTCTGCTCTTCAAGCACGACCCGGGCACCAACAACATTCTGCAACTGGTTAAATCTCCAGGTGACATCCAGGAGGGAGACCTGGTGGAGGTGGTGCTCTCTGGTAAGACTTTATATTCTTCTTTTTTCTTAAGTCTCTTCTTTACTTATTTAATGTTGCTGATATTATAATAGCAGAAAAAGGACTTCTTTCTTTCAGTCCTACATTGAATCATTTCTTTATTTTATTACAGATTTAATGTTGCCGTGTGCTAATTTTTGCCTTTCTTTCTTTTAAGCTTTGCTTCATCTTTGAGCTCTCCAGTTTTACTTTTACATTTTGTCCAGCTACATAATCATAACCCTTTCCTAACACCTACAGTCTCCCCTCTGTGCCCCTCTTATCTTTGTCAGCGGCAGCCACCTTTGAAGATTTTCAGATTCGACCCCACGCACTCAACGTGCATTCGTACCGAGCCCCGGCCTTCTGTGACCACTGTGGAGAGATGCTGTTTGGACTGGTCCGACAAGGGCTGAAGTGTGATGGTGAGGGCAATAAATAAAATAAAACAAAATAAAGTGATATGGTGTGAATTAGATGCGACACATCTGAGCACAGCTGTGTGGAGTGAACTCACTCTCATCACTCTGCTGCTTGGTTGATGCTCGCCTCTCTGACTCTTTGATCCATGACACCCCCTGCAGGATGTGGCCTTAACTACCACAAGCGCTGCGCGTTCAGCATCCCGAACAACTGCAGCGGAGCTCGTAAAAGACGCCTGTCCACCACCTCTCTGAGCAGCAGCCAGTCTCTGCGTCTCTCCACCACCGAGTCGGTCTACAGCGTGGGCTCAACCTCCACCTGCAATGAGGAAACCAGTCTTATTCGCTCTCACACACAAATGGTACAACTGTCAGTTTGCCATGTTGTTAAAATTAAGTAATTTTTTAAAGTGCTTACATCCTGTTTAATGCATCTTGAGCTCTGGTTAAACTCTGGTTATAAGATGGCACTGGACTGGAAGTGCGTCATCCTTTTGTCAGAACACAGTTTGGACACATTTCGGTGGCACAGAATATTCTAAGAACAAGAACACAGGAGCTCGCGCAGGCTTTCATACTTTAAATGGTTTTCATTTTAAAGACATGCAGGTAGTTTTTCAGACACAACCTTGAAAACAGCCTGCAGGACTGCATTCCACATAGAGGTGGTGTTCGGTCACTGATTCATCCGAACTCGTAAGACGTTTAGGGCAATCTAGGCAGAAGCTGCACTTGTTGCAGATGCTTATCTCTGGGTAATTTGCTCCACTTACGAATAGAATGAAATAATATCAAATTAAAAGTGCCTTTACATCTACAATAGTTGTAGAGTAGCTTTAATCTACAATTCAATCGTGTTGCTTAAGAACTGTTCTGCCTTTCAAGCTTCGGCTGATGATTAAACACTCCTAAAGTTCTGTTAACAACGAAAAACAGAGTGAAACTTTAAGCAATACCTTAAAATAAAATGCTTAGCAGCTGAAAAGGAACACGATTCCCATAGGAGAGGATGAAATATGAACATTTGCAACACCTACATGTTTTACATGTGCCTTACGTATTTGGTTGAATGACGTGAATTTGACACGTCGGAGAGACTGAAATTAAAAACAAAGTGTGACCCACCTTGACATAACCCAACACTGAAACTTTTCCTCGATGCGTTTAGTGCTTCTAAAGACTACCACTGTACGTCTAATAGTTCAATAAGAACAACAGTTTAAAAGACATGAAGACCAAACAACTCCACGACATAACGTTCATGCACGTATAAAGTCGTCCCTGTTGGTCCTTGAAATGTTTACTTCTACTCATGATTTACCCTTTCCGATCAACAATTTTTATACGCCCTTCAAAAAGCGAACTTATGGAATAGTCTCTGCCCGTCCGTATGTTTTGTAATCCTTCTCATGGCCTGTCCAGAACTTCTGATCCACTCAAGATAGTATAACAAAACTTGATACATATTTGTACCATCACTTGACAGAGTGTCACATAATCTTTTCATCACCCCAGCTTTAGGGTAAAGGTCACAAATCAAAGGTAATACAAGTTTTTTGCTTGTCCAGACCATTGCAGTGGATTGGTGAGTTGCAGTATAGCTTGTTGAAGGGTGTGTAATCAGTTGTATACGGTACTCTTGTTAACAGATTGTGACCAGTATGATAGTTTTTTGTCTTGAAATGGCAAAAACGGGCATAAAAATCCTATTTGTTGTTTCTCTAATTATCTTTGTTTGTCTCAATGATTTTAGCCGCGAACTGCCAGTGATGTGCGACGGTTCTACACAGGCAGACCTGTCCATTTGGACAAGATGCTGATGACCAAGGTGAAGGTTCCCCACACGTTTGCTGTTCACTCGTACACCCGGCCGACGGTGTGCCAGTACTGCAAGAAGCTTCTCCGAGGGCTGTTCAGGCAGGGTCTGCAGTGCAAAGGTGAGCCCAAACAAAGACCAGAGCTATTTCCGAACACTCTTTACATCGCAGAGTATTAAATAATCTGTTTATGTGACATGCGCAGTAAATTAATTGTTGCATTTCTCCCAGATTGTAAGTTCAACTGTCATAAACGCTGTGCGTACAAAGTTCCCAATGACTGCCTTGGAGAGACCATTGAAGGTGAGGGAAGATACGACTCCTTCTGTTTTATTTATACATTTACATTCTGTTCAGTCTGCATGGATTTTATACAATCTCTCATGTGCATGATTCTGTCAGAACTAATAAACTTTTGTGTAATGTGTCATTGTCTAATCAAACTAAATCTCACTGGTACTAATCTTTTTATCTTCTCAGACAACAGAAGTAACTGTGGTAAGTATTATCAGTATTCTGTACTGAGTCTTGTCAAGCTGATCAGTTTACTAGCATTTTGCGGTTAATAACTACTGAAACAGTAGTAAATAATGCAGTAGTATACTTTTGTATTGTATATGAAGCATAATTACCTTAAATGAGGTCAAACTCAGCACAGTTCCCATTTATTGCATGTTTTGTCTCAGGAATATTGAGTCCCTCAGCGGACCATGAAGTACCCATGGACTTCAGCAGTGAGTACGACGCCTCAGACAAGTCTTCAATGGAAGACTCAGATGAGTCCTGTAGTATCCCTGGGTCCTTCTCTCCTGACAACAACCAGGGCGGAACCAGCGGAGACCAAAGGTTTGAAAAGACTTGAACCCATGCAGTAAAATCAGAAACAAGTCATGCGAAGAGTCATTTCTGTTCCAGGTTGTTACAACTCTTACAGCTCCAGCAAAAATGATCTGTTCTTTACTTCATGTAACCCTTACCTTTAATTTAGTTGTTTTTCCTTCTGATGCGACACATTAGAAAGATTGTTTGATTTGTTGAAATCTTTTGGAATAGGGCAAACACTTTTTTTAAATACTCTGTTAGCTCTTCCACTTCAGCTTAATTTTCAAAGCAACATGTTCCTCTTTCAAAAGGGACCCCCTTGAAGAAACCTGCATGCAATCAGCTATCACTAATACAGTACAATCGTCCCTCACTTATCATGGGGGTTCCGTTCCAGACACCCCCGCGATAGATGAAAATCCGCGAAGTAGGGATGTTATATTTATTTTAGTTTTTATATGTATATTAAGGATTTATAAACCTTACCACACTCTTGCAATGTTCTAAACTCTCCAAATGCTCTAAAAGAGGACAGTGAAAGAGACAGACCGATACTACAGTTACTGAGCCAATCAACGCCTGGGGGCGGACTGGCCATTGGGAGCACCGGGACATTTCTCGGTGGCCTGGTCCGCTCAGTGATCGCTGAGGGGCTGGACCAAAGGCTCGGTTTGGGTCGTGCTTGATTATTTTAAATAAATAATCCATGCCACTTACTCAGGTATCCACCTCACTGACGCTCCCACAGACTGAACAATAGCGATGTGAAAAGACAGACCCCGCCCCCCTCCTTTCTCTTTCTTAGGCCGTTTGTCACAGCAGAGCAGAGATACACAACAGGTTGCGCGCCCGCCTGTTTCCTGTCTCTGCTCTTCTATGACAGACAGCCCAAGAAAGAGAAAGGAGGGGGTGGGGAGGTGAGGTCTGTCTTTTCCCATCGCCAGTCGTGTGTCGTGTACAATCTTACACTGAAAACCCGCGAAAGAGTGAGTCCGCGAAAGTCAAACCGTGAAGTATCGAGGGGCTGCTAGATGTCTTTACATAAACAGATGCACATCAGCATAATCATCAATATAACCACATATGTCATGTGACAAGTTGTCTATATGGCAACAAATTTTTTATACGTTTGTCAAAAGGCGGATGTAATATGGCATAGTCTCTGTCTGTCAGTCAGTGCATATGTTTGTCTGTATGTAAACGTCCCTCCTCCCATAATTTTTGATTCGCTCAAGATATTTAATGAAACATCATAAATTTTGGGACATCATTTGGGGAGTGGTGGCGCAGAGGTTAGAGAGGTGGGCCTGTGATCCGAAGATCGCCGGTTCACGCCCCGGCCCCGACAACATCAAAATTGTGGGTGGGGTAGGTGAAACACCCACACTTGCCCCCACCCTTATTCGCCCCACTCTGGGGCCATGAGCAAGGCCCTTAACCCCCACCATGTGCTCCCTAAACAGGTCTCTCTTGAAAATGAGTTCTCGTGGCTCAATGAGACTAACCTGTATAAATAAAAGGCTAAATGAAAAAAAAAAATAAAACATATGCATCATCACTAGACAGAGTGTCGCACACATTTTCATAATCCCAGCTCTATGATCAAGGTCACAAATCAAGGTCAAATCTAAAATGATTATTTGCTTCTCTGGACCATAACATATGGTCTGCTCGAGATAATTTAACAAAACTTGATACACATTTGTACCACCACTAGACAGCGTGCCATGTAATCTTTTCTTCACTGCAGCTTCAAGTTCAAGGCCACAAATTAAGGTCAAAGGTTATACAAGGTCTTTGCTTGTCCAGGCAGTTGTTATAGATTGCTGTATGATAGTTTACTCATGGGCGTATAATGTGCCGTATGCAGTACATATGTTAAATCTTGTTAAAAATATTGTAGTGAACCTGATCTGACCCTGATCTGACCCTGATGACCT